GGTCTAAAAAAGGAACGGAGCTGCGTAGAAACATCCTATGGACTAAGTGCTAGCGCAATAGTCAAAAGAGATTTTTTGATACAAGGTTCACAGGTATCACACTGAACACTGGTTCAATCTGATGAGATCAGTTCTAATCAACTGAAATCCATTTTAAATATACGGACTTTTCCAGTACTCTTCACATTCCATACTAAAAAAGATATCTTCCCTGCACGCCTCCCCTAGTGATTAATTCGAACAAAAGAATCTGACAGGAATCTGATACGAAACTTATAAGAATCCGATATGACTCGTACAAAAATCGTATTAGATTCTTATTGAATTCTTATATAAGAAGTCCGCACGAAAGTGACAAGAATTTGATAAAAAGCAGATACGGATCAGTTAAGAATCCTGTACGAATTGAACAAGAAACGGGCAAGCACTGCTACAAAAACTTCCAATGCTTTTTCTTTCTCTTTAGTTAGCTGTATAGTTCATTAGTAAGCGTATGAGAGGGCGCGAGGCGTTCTCAGAACGACCAGTCTTGCCTACATTGGAGAAACTTTGTACAAATTTTCAAGAAATCAGTGGTGCTTGCATACTATGTGCTTCTGCAAAATAAAACGGTACCTGGCTAGTAAGAATTTCATAAGAATACGAACGTGATAAGAGCGTCTTATCAAAGTCATAGCTCATTCTTATTTAAATCTTACCTGATTCTTATCGGATTCGTATGAAATTCTTGCCATTTTCACGCGGACTTCTTATATAAGAATTCAACAAGACTCGAATAAGATTCTTACCAGAAATAACGAAAAATGTTCGCGTAGGGTCTTAGCAATGTTGTATTAGTTAGTTTATAACACCGAAAGAAAACACCAGCTGAAAGATGAGAGAGTGTATCTGATGTGGTTGTACTAACATATTGTATTATGTTATCTCAGTTTAATTCGTCGGTATCGATGTGGTGTTTCCTCATTTGGAAACAATTTTTAAGTGATGCTTTGAAATAAATGATCGACACGTTCTTCTCTATAAATAGTGATATTTTTAAGTCTTTTTCTTAGTATTGACAGACTTTTTATGACTCATGGCCAGCGGTATCAGCGACTTACAAAATAAACTTGACTCACGTAAAACACAAAATGATCTTTCACTATATCAATATAAATACAAGACATCAAAAATAAGACATAGTCATGCACTCAATCTACAATTCACACCATGGATCGCATTGTTGTTGAAATATTTGGACGTGCTATAGTTGAATTGGTATGTATCGGTATTCGTGCTGTGGTTACCAGCAATCCACAACAATCAGTAAGTAAGAAGGTGGGTATCTTCTACATTACCAAAAGTCGTTCATCATCCTCGGGCTGTTCTTGCAATATCAAGCCATCATGAATTCGGAATGGAAATTGAACAACTTGTAAATATTACATTTTCAACAAGTCAATCATTTCCATCTTTGATGAACAATTATATGGATGTGATTCGTTATTTAAAACAAGAACTGTTGAAACACTATACAACGGAAGAATTCATTATTATTATCGGTGGTACAAATTCGTTTAATTTTGATACTGACTATGGTGAATATATGGCTGTTGTCCAACAGAATAATTATAAAGTATTAGTCTATTCAACAAAACGAAATTTATCATCTATTAGCAAAATCGTGACACGACATTGCCGCGAACGACATTACCTCGAATACAGAAAACGACATTACCGCGAAGACTCGTTTCTTGGAAAAGAAGAATAGATAAGCTTGGATTATTTTTCATATCATGTGGAGGGAGGTGTGTGTGTGTGTGTGTGAAGGCATTGTGAGTGTGAGTTCGAAAAGTATTTTCCCAAACTTATTATCGCGATGCGAAACTGGATATCTGTGGCTGTATCAGATAATGACTAGTCACCAGATAACTTCAGTTAAGGTTGAAAACATGAGGTACAAAATACAAAACCAGGCTCATTTATTCTTCTTTTCCAATAAACGAGTCTTCGCGGTAATGTCGTTTTCCGTATTCGCGGTAATGTCGCTGTATCAGCAAAACAGGTACACAAGATGCAGACAGCGAGACGCTTATTCATTGGTGAGCTGGTTATTTTCTGAATAAAACAAACGGAGTTGTGAATATTAGTTGATTTCTACATCTAAATAAGAACATCAGCTCGCAGACAAAAAACTTTGAATGTAAAATGCATACTGATAAACTTTATTTAAGTTTAAATAATATATGTATATACTGCATATCAATGGCTGTCATATCTCGTTACGAGTTGGATCAGCAATAGTTATGTTAGCCATCGGTTATAAATCTCTCACGGATTCGTAAGTTATGACGCGAAAGTCTTGGTACAAGTTAAAACAAATTAACAAAAATCTTTTTACACATGAAAATGTGAGTTTTGAAATCAAAATTTTTAAGTAGTTGAAATATTTTTTTAGAAAGTTTACAGGATATTTCGTTTCGGAGTTACAGATGTTTTTCTGCCATGTTTCAAAGTATCATCTGTACAAGAAGTAAAGGCTAATTTTCAAAATTATAATTTAATATTTTTACTAATATTCTCTACTCGCCATCTCTGTTTGTCAAAAATTGAACTTACTTG